TGGTGGTCAGAGAGGCTCGGTGGGCTGAGGGGCAAAGCTAGAAAAGCTTTTAACAAAGCTAAGAACATGAGAGCGGGCCCCCGTAAGGAAGACGCATGGAAAACTTACAGAGGCTTGCTCGCAGATTACAACAAGGCAATAAAGGCAGCCAAAGAGGACTGCTGGAGGGCTTTCACAAGCAATGTGGAGAGTCAATCGGAGACCTCTAGGCTGGCAAAAATCCTTGGAACAAACAAGACTCCATATCTAGGGAGCCTACAGGCACCAGATGGCAGCCACACGGAAACCATGGGAGAGACTCTGAAACTCCTAATGAACACCCACTTTCCAGGCTTCATACAGGCCCAGGAGAGAGATAAAGAAACAATGCAAAATCAGAGGGATGTCTACGAAACCCATGATTGGGCATTGGCAAATAAAGTAGTGCAGCCCTGGGGGGTCAAGTGGGCCATCAAAACCTTTGAACCCTTCAAGGCACCGGGACCAGACGGGATCTACCCAGCCCTATTACAGGAAGGGATAGAGACTATCACGGGACCCCTAACCAAGATACTCAGAGCTAGTATAGCCCTGAAACATGTCCCTAGTGTGTGGAATGAGACTAGGATAGTATTCATTCCCAAGCCGGGAAAAACCGGTTATATAAAACCAAAAGACTTCCGTCCTATAAGCCTCACATCCTTCATCCTGAAGACCCTGGAGAGGCTGGTGGATAGACACATCAAGGCCGGGCCCTTGGCTGACAGACCCCTCTCCCCCTGTCAATATGCATACAGAGAGGGACGATCAACAGATACCGCCTTACATCACCTGGTGGGACTGATTGAGGGACAACTGGCGGTCAAGGGTTTTGCCATAGGCGCCTTTCTGGATATTGAGGGGGCTTTTGATAGCACTTCGAATCCGGCTATAGAAAAAGCCATGGAAGAACGACAGGTGTCCAAGACTATCATTGCTTGGACACAAAACATGCTGAAAAGCAGAAGACTGTCGGCAGGACATGGGAGGGTATGTGTGGAGGGACGTCCGACTAGGGGCTGTCCGCAGGGGGGAGTTCTCTCGCCCCTGCTATGGAACCTGGTTGTAGATGGACTTCTAAATCAACTAAGTGAGGCCGGCTTCCACGTCATCGGTTTCGCCGATGATGTGGCAGTTGTTGTGAAAGGCGGATTTCTGAGGGTGCTAAGGGACCTGATGGCAACAGCCTTCAATATCATTGAGGACTGGTGCAGGGTAACTGGCCTATCGGTAAATCCAGCCAAAACAACAATCCTGGTTTTCACCAGAAATTATAAACTGGAAAAGATCCAACCTCTGAAGCTAAATGGCTCGGAGATTAACTACACCAGCAGAGTGAAATATCTGGGTGTCCTCCTGGATAATAAACTCAGCTGGAAAGAACATATCTGTACTCAGAGAAATAAAGTGTTTGCCTCTATGTGGGCATGCAGGAGAGCTGTGGGCAGGACATGGGGACTCAATCCTAAAATGATGCTCTGGCTCTACCAAATAGTTCTACTTCCGAGACTGTTATACGCTGCGGTCGTCTGGTGGCCGAGGGTGAGTAAGACGGAAACAAGGAACCTGTTGAAAAGCCTACAGGGAACCTTCCTGAGGGCTGCAACAGGAGCCATGAAATCGACACCTACTGAGGCGCTAGAAATAGCACTCAGTATCCCACCCCTCGACCTTAGGGTTGTGAGTTGTGCTACCACAACTGCATATAGACTAAGGTGCCAACTAGAATGGAAGATGACGGGCCAAGGCCATACAAGGCTTAGCCTAATCAATGATCGACCCTTCATAGGTAAGACGGATAGGATTCCTAGGAAGTATCAGATCAGGAAAACTTTCAGAACGAGTATACCACCCAGACAGGAGTGGCTAGACTCGAAACGTAAACCAGGACCAAGAGAGGACTACTGGTTTACGGACGGCTCTGGCTTCAATGAAAGTTTTGGGGCAGGCATCTACCGTCTGAAAGATGGCTTCGGAGAGAGTTTTCCGCTGGGCCATCATTCAACCGTCTTTCAAGCAGAGATGCTGGGCATACTTAAGTGTGCAGAGTATCTGAACGCGAGAGACACAAAAAAGATGAAAATATTCATCTGCAGTGACAGCCAGGCGGCGATACACGCCCTGGAAAAACCCACTACAGAGTCACAGGTGGTGTGGGAATGCATGCAGGCATTGGACACACTGGGTAAAAACAACCGGGTCACCGTAACCTGGGTGCCAGGTCACCATGGGATTCTGGGTAATGAAGAGGCAGATAGGCTGGCCAAGGAGGGTACAGAAAGTGTGCCCTCACACGGCCTGCTTGGCATGCCCTTCGCAGTGGGAAAAACTCTTATTAAAGATCATTTCCAGCGGGATCATGTCAGGCGTTGGGAGAAAGTTGCGACCTGCAGACAAGCGAAACTGCTTATGAGAGGGCAACTAAGAGTTAGGACCAGAAAGCTTCTGGAGTTGCACAGAGGGGATCTGAGGGTAGCAGTAGGGCTCCTTACGGGTCATACAGCTCTCAGAGCTCATCTGTTCAAGATGAAACTTGCAGAACAAGAAGACTGCAGACTGTGCGGAGGCGATAAGGAGGGCGTCATCCACATTTTATGTGAATGCCCCCTATTAGCACTCCGTCGCTATAAAATCTGGGGCCAGGCTTTCCTGAAACCAGAGGACTTACAACAAGCGGCTGTCACCAGCCTTATTAGCCTAGTGAGAAACACAGGGCTGGGGCTGTGTGACCGACCGAAACTAAGGCAGAAGTTACAAAAGATCGTATGATTTAGGTGACTCTGGGCGCTTTAAGTGACCAGCCGCACTTTTTTTATTCTATTCTAAATATATAAATACTAGTTCAATCCTCGAAATATCGTCCATCGTTTTCGATGACCTTGCGCCATCGATCAGGCAACATATAAATGCCATCGCGTAAAAAACTTGCAGCCTTTGAGGCGATGAAGTCATCAAATCCGGTGAATAAGCCGCTTGCGGGACAACCTCCCAGCCCAAGCTTAAAATCGTTTTCTGTGTCGGGCGAGCAACATGAGGTCGAGCGTTATCATGGATCAACATGACTTTCTGGCTCCATTGCCCACTAAATGGCCTCTTCTCATCAAGTACCTCGCTCAATTTGTTCAATTGTCGATTTCAGCGTTGTGCAGTAACTGTCGGACCCGTTTCCAAAAGTTCGTAATGGAGTACACCATTCATATCCCACCATATGGAGAGGAGAACCTTCTTCATGTAAATTTTTTGTTGGGGAGTGGATGTCGATCGTTAGCCGACATCCACCCATAACATTTTCCGTTTGGGATTAGCAAAAAAAATATTTTTTTCATCTTCCGTCACAATTCTTGAGAAAAAATTTTTCTTCTGGCACTTGGCGACCAACGAAAGGAACATGCTCATGCGTTGGCCGCAGTTATGTTCAGTCAGTTGGTGTGGAGCCCATCTTCCTACCTTTTGTATTTTTGCCATTGCATGTAATCGTTTAGAGACGGCTGCTTAAGTAACTCTTAGCTGAGCTGCATGCTCTTTTCGCATTTACGTTGAGTCTTTGTCGGGTGATTCTTGCAATTCAGCATCTTCAAATTTCAGAGGTTGTCCAGAGCATTCCCGGTCACTGAGATCGAAATCTCTACAAAGCGTTTATACCAATATCTATACGTATCATAAGACGCAATATTACTTCCGAGAATAGAACAAATCGAATCGTGTGCTTCAATGGCTTCCTTTCCTTGTTGGAACTCATAGAGAATACAGTGCCGAATGTGCTGCGTATCAGTCGCCATTGTATATACCACTGTATTGTATATACCATGACATATAGCATATTGAAAACAGTTAGGTTCACTCTTCAAAATCGCAAACGGACGCGTAAATATTCAAATTTTAAATAAGACACCACACTCAATGAAAAAAAATGGAAAGATTGAGTTATACACCTAATAGATGGGGGGTTATATTGTTATTGTTCAACTTCCACTAGTATAATTGTTGTATAGTGATTCAAACCCCCATTTTTCACGAATCCTCCACCGCAGCCTAACTTTCTCCCCGCAACACGTTTCCTGACCTAGTTAGTTACTTAGTGACCCTTCAACTCTTCTTCCTTAGTTTTACCTCATCAGACCCCCCTTTCAAGTCAAGTTTAAGTTTCAATTGTGTCGTTTCCTTTCAGTCCCTCTTGAATTCTCTTATTGATCCTACTGATCTTACTGATCTCATTCTTCTGGTGTGTTGCTTCCCAGGTAGAAAATCAGCTGAGATCTTATGACTTCAATTAAAAGTTTTGGGTAAGACAAGAAAAAGGAGGCCATCAATAACGCCTTCGATCTCGTCGGAAAAATCCCGTTAGAAATCGTAGTCCTATCTCCCACTCCCTCGTGGAGACACTATTAATCTACGTTCTCTCCAGTGAGGCGAGGAGGAAATTCATTAAAATTCAATCCGGACACGTGAAAGCAGAGAGAATTGGAGTGCTTCATAGGCGTTTGAGTGATTATCTAAGCTCTCTACCTATCACTATTGAAGCGAGTACTCTGACCACTGAATTACAGAAACACCTTCATGTATTCAATTCTCATTCTCAAGATTTGGACACTTAAAGAAATAGAAATTGGAGACTGACTCAGGAACGAGCCCGGTGGCTTGGCGTAGTGGCTAAGTTCATTGCCTCACGTGCGAAAAGTTCCTAGTTCAAAATCCGGCCGGGTAGAATGGTGAGATCTAACCATTTAAAGTCTTGATCATCATCGCAGCATAAGCTAACTGGGTCGAAGCCTTGTAAAATAACCATTAAAAAAACTCAGGAACTAGAAATGAAAAGTGGAATGTTCCCTTGACGGCACTAGTACATTTCATTTCAAGATTATGAAAAATCTTTCCCGTAATTGTCATCATTTCATAAGCACTACTTATCCAAAAACATGATTTGCCACGAACAATAAAGAAGAAGAAAAAGCATATATTATTCTGGTGCGGTTGTGACGTACCTGCAAAGTTAGGTTGACTAGTGCTTGTCATCTCGCAATGCGGCGCTAATGGAGGATCCCGACCAATACGACGTCCGTGGAGTTTATTATAAGTACAATTCGCACAAACACCCGACGCTGGATCATCCTCGGAACAAACACGGAAGCAACACTCCTCTTCCTCGTCTCCATGCAATGCTCTTACTGCTTGTCCACCAGTTTCTGGGATATTTGGATCTATAATTATTAACGACAAACAAAGAAAATACGCATATAGTAGATCATCCATTCTGGCTCCGCATCACATCAATATCAAACTTACTTGAAAAATTAGGATGTTAAAATCTTCCCGTGGTAGCCAGCAAAAATGGCCGAATGACTAGTTTTCATATGAAAAATTACTGGGTATGAGTATTCATCTTTTTTCAATTTCTCTATGCTCATATTCTAGAGATATATCAAATATTATGATGCTAAAGATATGAATGTTTCATATGAAATTCAATTCCATTAATTTATTAAATCATTTGAGAATTACAAAATCATTGAAATTCTAGTTAGGCGCGAGGGACAGATGGTATCATTCCGATTTTTCATGTGCATTTATTCATTATATTTCTGGATAGTGATTTTATAATGCATCGGATATTAAATTTTTGCCTTGGAATGCTTTTTATTGGACATGCATCAATTCCTTCCTCTTAAGGCCCTCGTGTAATACTCCCACATTTATCTAGTGTCCCCACCCTACATTTTCTAGGGGAAAATGTCGATTCGCGCGGCCCCAGATTGTGGGGGTAATAACGCACCAAAAATATGATTTTTAGATGAAACAATGGATTATGACCACCGACAAATCGATAATTAGGTCTGAGGGTGATAAAAGCTATGATAGGATTGTAATTATTCAATAAAAATTGTCACTAGTGAATCCGTATTTCGATACATTTACAACACAAAAATGACGGTCGAATTACACGTGTAAGGAACCACCAATTATAAATTTTATGAGCACTTCATCATAATCACACCTAATTACCTATGCGTGTATCACTATTCCGCGCATTATCGATATTTTCACCTCAATTACCTGAATGATACGGCCACGAATAGGGGACGCGTGAATGAACCGATGGTCTGTCAACGTCGATTGCCGTTAGGACGATTGGGATCTGGAAGATAGCGCCACTACCAACTCGAAGAATTTTTCTCAAGACCATAAATCAGCTGGGGCCCTGAGGGGGCTACTCCGATTCTGAATCGAAGCTCATAGCCCTGAAGATGCAGACTGCAATGTTTATGACACGTCGGCGCAGAGCTAAAATTGAATGTGGCATCCATCCGGAAGCCAATGATATCAATCTTTATGGCCGCGAAAGCCTTAAAACTTAAATGGGTTGAATTTGGTGTATTTCGATATGAGTGGACAAGAGCGGTGTCTGACGTGTGGAAGGTCAGTAGCGTTGGCCGAAGGCGAGTCTTACGCTCCCTCTTGTTTTCCCAGGAGTATCGATCGAGATACGCGGCAGCGTATCGGCCAAGAAAAGTTTTGACTCCGATTGTACAAAACATCAGGCCGATCGCTCCCGTGTATCTATACATGAAGCAACTATCCCCTCCACTACCTCCGAATCATATCCATTAAATAAAATACAAACGTGACGAGTTACAAGAAAAATTATATAAATTGGCCACAAGCTTCTCATTGATGTAACAATTTTTTTGTTCAAAGCAATATTTAAAAAAATACACGCAGAGCAACGGGTTCATATGCACATTCTTGCATTTCACATCAACTCCTATCATTTTTTTTACGAAGTTGGTACCAGTGCAATACAACCACACGCACCAAGGAGGGAAGCCCGGGAATTTACAAATTGAATATGGTGTACGAATTATGAATTCCACAGATATTTTTCAATCGAGTTTCGTGCACAAATGAATTCTCGAAGAAGCAAATTCATTCGGAAAATCTTGAATAAGTAATTAAAATTCGGTGCAAATAATGACTGTGGAATAGAACTATTTGATTTACTTCGATTGTTAATTGGAAAGATGATTTATCGTGTGAAAAATAAATGAGCCGAATTGAATTGAAAATGAAAAAATTTACAGGATATAAAAACGATTCCTTGTTTATTTTGAAAAAAATTATGAAATCTCCCTAAAAACAAAACAAATGTTTTTGTAAAAAAACTGCGCCAAGAAAAAGTTTTGTTTGGTTCTTACTGGGAAGTAGAAATTTTTGAAAAATACAAAGAAATGAAAAAGAAAGCCAAGTCAGCAATGTCGAATAAACGAAAATAGTGCACAATCAGATTTCTATAAGAGAAATCGTTTCAAATCGAATGAGGATTTAAAAAAAATTCTTGATGAAATAAAAAATTAGTAGAAGGAGGACCAACGTTCTTGGGGCGGAGTTTTTCAACTCATTGTCCAGTATCAATCTAATTCTCCATCTTCTGATCCATGCCAAGGACGTTGGTCCTCCTTCTACTGATTTTTATTTCATCAAGAATTTTTTAAAAATCCTCATTCGATTTGAAACAATTTCTCTTATAGAAATCTGATTTTGCACTATTTTCATCTATTCGACATTGCTGACTTGGCTTTCTTTAATTTCTTTGTATTTTTCAAAAATTTCTACTTCCCAGTAAGAACCAAACAAAACTTTTTCTTGACGCAGTTTTTTTACAAAAACATTTGTTTTTGTTTTTTTAGGGAGATTGCTATTTTTCATCACAATGTGTGAGAAGTGTGGTTTTGCGCTCGCGATATTTTGGTGAAATCTCACATTACACCCAGCGTGATGAGAAAGAAAATTCCAATTTTGAAAAACGAAAGGCGGTACAGAAGAAAACACATGATTGGTCTGTTATGAACAGACGGAGATCTGTTTCACTATAATTAAATAATGAAAAAATGATCAACCAATGAATTTGAATTTGGAATTTTCCCGTTGAAAGATTTATTGACCCAATGACAAGACAATAGTATCGTAACGTAATAGAACGCAAAAGATATTTAATAATTATAATTAGGGAGAGAGAAGGAGGCTGAGACAACGACCTTGATGTTGACTACAGAACTCTTTCAGAAAATCAGGAAATTATTAGAACATTCAGGATATTATTATGACAACAACTGAGAATGCGACCATTGATTTTGTTCGGATGTTTCGTACGATTAAAAATTTTGTGTAAACAATATGCGGTGAGTCGATGATTTCATAAAGTTATTTATGTCATGCGTGCGTGTAAAGTGCAGGTTAACAGGGGCGTTTGGAGGTCGGTAAGTCGAATTTTACACGCACCACCAATCGTTCTTCACTTAATACACGTTCCCAGTTTTACACGCGTCCTATGTTATTTTACTGGTACTTTACCCGTTCTCAATAACCCCTAGCGACATCTTGCGGTACGAACATAACCCATTATCGCAACCATACACCGATCAGCTGATCCATTAGACACTATTTAACGAAACAAATCGCAGTACAAAAAGGTAAGAAATAAACTACATAATAATAAATAATTAACTCAAAAAGTGAAATATGAATACACAAGAAGATATGTTTAGTGAACACGATGAAATACTAACAGATAATATACTTCGAAACGCTCAGGAAGCAGAGAAATGCCATCCCCCGGAAAAATCACAGGAGAGATACCTCAAAACATACAATAATTTCAACGAATGGAGAAAAAAAGCAGGTGTAAAAACAGTCATCAACGAAAAAGTTATGCTAGCTTATTTTAACATATTAAGCGAGGCTCACAAGCCATCGTACCTGTGGCCAGCTTATTCTATGTTGAGAAGTACAATTCAGAGTCATCATAATATCAATATCCATGACTACACAACATTGTTGGCATTTTTAGTTTTGAGGCTTTCGCGGCCATTTTTAATGACTTGGTTGGCTTCCGGATGGATACCGCGTTGAGTTTCAGCATTGCGCCGACGTTTCGCAAACATTGCAGTCTGCATCTTCAGGGCTATGAGCTCCGATTCTGAGCTCCGATGTGTGGGGGCAGTCCTTATATACCTTCCCTTGTGGTGGTGGG